GCCTCATATGTCACACCTTCCTGGTTGGACCTCAGCTCTTCATCCCTTTGTCTTGCCTGCCTCCTCATGATTCTGTAGTCCTTGTACTGTTTTTCTAATCTTGCCTCAGCCTGTTTCATTCTGTTAGAATCTCTCCTCTTAAATTCTTTCCTTGTATGGTCCCCCACATTCAGTCCAGCCTTCAACATGACCTGGTTCTTCATGGAGGCACCACTGCTGAAGTGTAAACTAGCAGATCATGTTGCCATTAGGACTCTTTTCCTTCCATGCCATTTACTCTTAGGGCACTTATTCCAGACCAAGTCATTTATAGATTCATTTGAATTCTGTGTGTAACCAGGCAAACATCTTGCAAGGAGGGCAGGGTCACTTAGTCTGCCATAAATTGGTTCAAGACATTTTTTAAAAACTGGATCAAGATGATGTTTGTCTGGACATGGTAAACCTTTCTCCCCCTTCACCTAACTCCCCCCCCCCCTCCATTTTCTTACTAAAGCCCATATAGTTTTAACAAAATTAGTTTTGTTTGAATCAGTCATGTCTCTGCCTATAATTTCTGCCTCAACTTTGTCAAACAGTCTATCAGCTTCCAGTTCTTTCTTTGCAAACAACCAGACAAACTCGATCTGCTATAGGGTGACTGTTCATTGAAGTTGTCTCTGACAGAAGTTCCTCCAACAAAGCTTTAAATAACTCTACAGAACCACTACCTGCTTTGGCAAGTGAATATAATATCCCAGACAAATGACGATCCTCAAGATCCCACTCCCCAAATCCACTCTTTTCGGGGAGGAACGAAAAAAAACAGACTCGAGAGAGCAGAGGAAATCAAGCTAGCCTAAGGTTTGCACATCCGTTCAAAATCTGAAAGAGTTTTCCCTTGTTAAAAACTGAAATGCCACAAGACAGAATCTTTTTCTCACAAAGTTGGAGCAGCTTTTTGTTTTTCTCCATTCATTCCTAGTCTCCACATCAAAACGGCAAGATTCTGAGGAAGACATCTGTATAGTTTCTCCAAAATACTATCCAGTAATTCAATGAATTAAGGCATTACTTTTCTCTTCTTTCAGAATCTTCTTCTGTTCTTTATCTTTTTCTGTGATCTTGGCAATATTAAAGAGTATAGCAACGCGATTCACAATATTAGTCATATATTTAACTACCCCAAAAAATTAAGTAGTTGGTTAACTGTTTCCAGTGTGGCAACTTTTCTGTCGATGATCATTTTCACTTTGGTTGGACAGAAGGACGTTAGATCTGTTGAATATTCCGAGACTGGAAGAAACACTTAGACACTTTTAGTGTTTACTGATACTTTCCTAACTCTATTTGATGTCCATGAATAACTGAACATGACAATGAAATTTTGCAATGTCCGTGAAAACAACTTGCGAAAATGGAATCGAAAATTGGAAGTCAGAGCTCTCACTCCGAAGAAACCAAACATCCACATTTTTATCGCAGATCGTTATATTGTCATTTCCCTGTCAATCAAAATCGTAATAACCTCGCTCCCCTTCCATTCCTCCTTTAAAACAAAGATGCCATAGATTTCTGGTTTTTCTAAAAAACCCGTTTAATAAAACATCTATGAGAATGCTAATCACGTAACCTCTTTGATTTATTTTATTTTATTTTTATTTTTACAATTTAATGGCCACATGGTAAACAGAAGAAAGAAAAAGAAAATTCCATAGGGATAGTCCATAAAAGAGTCAAAGATCCCATGCTCAGACAGACCACCCAGATTAATCAAAACAGAATTTTAAAGTGACACGCATGGATAAAATTCGTCTCGCAAGTCCTG